GTGGATTGATTGCCTAGGTCTGCTCTTTGGAAACATTCACATCATCCTAATGTATTTTTCAGGGGCTTGGGTTACCAAGAACCTGTTTCACATCACTACTATTTAAAGGTGTGCTGGCATTTTCATTGCAGCCTGTTAATCAAATTGCTGTCAGCAGAACTGACGGTGCTTAATTGCAGTGCCAAGCAGCTTCTATGAAACATCCATCTGTATGTGCTTTGTGTATGACTGTTGTGGGATTCACACAGCAACAATCAGCTAAAGAATGGATTCATTAAGTGAGCTGCATTTTTCCCTGTGGCTGGGGCACTTGCATAACTATGTAGGCTACAAGGGAACATTGCAACACATCTTCCTTATAGTTCTTCAAAGCATACCCCACAGGTTTTCCCCCTTCACTTTAACTTCTGCAAGAAAAGAAAACAAATTACTTGTGGCTCCAACATCAAATTAAATTAGATGTCTCCATCCTGGAATGAATCCAATAAATCTGCAGGGGGCTTGGATATCAATGTGGTGATTTTGAAATTTCTTTGAAAGCTTGAGTGTTCCACACTTATATAGAAATGGCACTAGTCTTAATAATAATAATAATAATAATAATAATAATAATAATAATAATAATAACTTTATTTATACCCCACCTCCATTTCCCCAAGGGACTTGGAGCGGCTTACATGAGGCCAAGCCCAACACACATCAGTAACAAAAAATCAACAGCAAAAAATAACAACAATACAATTAAATAAATCACATATAAACATTAACATACAAGGACTTAAAACCTATGGGCAGGCCAGATGTAATAGTTAAAAATTAAAAAATAACCCCGGTCATGAACAGGTAGGATATATCTAATAGGAGGGTTTTTAAAAAGTGAGGGGAGTGCAATCCAAACGGATAGTTAAAGTGCATTTGAGGACATTTTGTTTCCTTATTCCAGGAAGGTACACTGGAACAGCCACGTTTTCAGGCTCCTCTTAAAGACTGCCCATGTCAGCGCATACCTGATGTCCCTGGGAAGTGACTTCCAGAGTCGGGGGGCCAGCACCGAGAAGGCCCTCTCCCTCATCCCCACCAATCGCGCCTGCGAGGGCGGCGGGAGCGAGAGCAGGTCCTCTCCAGTTGAACTAAGAGGCCATGTGGGTTTATACACGGAAATGCGGTCACGCAGGTAGGCGGTGCAATTCCATCATTGGTGGAGTTCAGAATGTTCTTTGATTGTAGGTGAACTATAAATCCCATTAACTACAACTCCCAAATGACAAAATCAATTTTTTTGACATATCAGGTATGTGTGCCAAATTTGGTCCAGTGAATGAAAATACATCCTGCATATCTGATATTTACATTGCGATTCATAACAGTAGCAAAACTACAGCAATGAAAATAATTTTATGGTTGGGGGTCACCACAACATGAGGACCTGTACTAAGGGGTCTTGGTATTAGGAAGGTTGAGAAACACTGCCGTAGATAGATAGTGTGAAATCTGTAATTTCTTGTGTCTTGTAGATCCAAAGAATTTGGTAGATTAGACCTTAGCTTAATTTTGTCGCCAGTTCCTTGACCAGGTTATTTATTTCTGATTCCCATCAACTTTTATAAAAGAATATCTGGATACAAAATAGCATTTTTCTGTTTTTGTAACTCAGGACTTACCTTTGATCTTGAGTAACTTACTTTTTCTTTAACCTCACCAGTTATATTCCTATCAAACTGGTGACTGGCCATAGCCATTTTGTGAATGAACAAGCCTACCTCTTGATATCCAATTTTGTGAGAAATCCATGGTAGTTTCTCAATAAGATTGGAGTTTTTTGGTGAATTTATTTATTTATTTATTTACAGTATTTATATTCTGCCCTTCTCACCCCACAGGGGACACAGGGCGGATTACAATGTACATATACATGGCAAACATTCAATGCCATAGATATACAACATATATAGACAGACACACAGAGGCTATTTAACTTTCCAGCTCTCATGAGATTATTATGGCCACCAGAGGAGCTGTCGGTTCACTGTCCATTTGTGACACTGATTGAGTACTTCATCAGTGCTTGTTTGCTTGCTGGAGATTTTTATGGCATCATAAGTTAGTTAAATTAGCCTCCCCGCATAAGTGGTATCTAAATTTCCTATTTGCAGATGCAACTGTCTTTTGGGCTGCAAAGCTTGACAGGAAGCTACACAGAATGGTTGGAAGCTCACTCTGACCCGGGCTGGTTTCAAACTCATGACCTTCCAGTCAGTAGTGATCTTAATGCAGCTGACTCCCAGCCAGCTGCGCCACAGTCCCTGAGTGTAAGGTTTTGTGGACATTTTTAGGGGGAATAGATTGCGGTCCTAAAGTTTATAGCATACTCATTTTTTGGTCTTTAAAGGGTCTTGTTATGTTTTTCTATGTTGCCTTTGATGACAACAAAACTGTAACATGTGCCACGTGTTTAGCCTAGAATGGATGTTGTTATTTGTTAAATAATCAGCTTGAGAAAGCACAAAGACTGGGGTCATGATATAATAAGAGGAAGTTTGAGACTTTACTACTGTCATGGTTTCAAGAAGACCCTTTGTGCATGCTATTTGTAATGAAAGCTGGAAGCAACTTTTCTTCCATGGCAAATAACAAGCACTGGGGGAGTGGATTCTGATTAAGACCGTTCAAACAAATGATGTTCTCCTATGCTGCAATTCCAAACTCACTTAGTGTCCCAGCATTGACTGTTTATGTGCATATTTCAATTACCCAATGATCCAAGAATGAACCAGGGAAGGACAGTGTGCTAAACTGGCTGAGTTTGGGGCATACACAAATTTAGAATATTGAAGGTGAAATAACAGATCTATCACTTCCTTCGATTTGTATCTTTATAGATGTCTGTGTGCAATGCAGGTAATGATGCTACTAGTTCACCACCTTTGAATTGCTTCAAAACCATTACTACATTTCTTTCCAGCTCAGAACTTATAAAGCTACAAGAGGGGGAATACATGATTGGCCTAATTTTATTGGAAAAGATGCCTTGGGCCTCCAAACGCAAATACTTGGCATTCTTTTCAAACTGTAAGAAAAATTGTGGTTAATGGTATGCCAAATCCCTATGTTGCTTGGTTAGATAGTCTGCAGATTTACTTATTTTTCACATACCCCTCAAATGAAGAAGTTATTTCACTGCTCTTTCCCATCGGAAAAAAAATCTCAACCCATTAATAAACATGTGACTTTGGTGATGAATCCTGAGAAATCTGAGCATTCCGCTGCGAACTGGCCTGATCCACCTTACAACCAGAAAGAAAATAAGGTCTGGGTTTTCTGCAGAAATTAGTAAAGAAGAAGTTTCTGACCAAGGTCTTATACATTTTCAACATTATGTAGATAGAGACACACATTCTTAGACTCTACACCACTAAAGGTGGCATAAAGCTGCAGTGGTGCAATGGGCTAAACTCTTGTGCCAGCTGGACTGCTGACTGAAGGTTGAGTTGCTGACCTGAAGGTTGCCAGTTCGAATCCATGCAACAGGGTGAGCTCTTGTCTGTCAGCTCTTGCTTGCGAACACATGAGAGAAGCAACCCAGCAGGATGGAGCCTGAAAACGTGGTTGTTCCAGTGTGCCTTCCCAGAATAAGGAAAATTCTTAGCAATATGTCCTCAAATGCACTTTAATATTGATTTAGGATTGTCTGCGTGCTCTCATCTTTCTTTAAAAACCCTATCCTAGTTTACCCTATCTTTTTCATGCCCAGCATTTTAAATTTTAATTATTACATTTTGCCCGGGCATAGGTTTTTAAATGCTGTATGTTATTGTGATTGTTTATTGCTTAGTGTGTATTTTTTGGTTTTGAGATTTATTTTAACTGTCTTGTATTGATTATTTGTGAGCTTGGCCTCATGTAAGCCGCACCAAGTCCCTTGGGGAGATGGTAGCGGGGTACAAATAAAGTATTATTATTATTATTATTATTATTATTATTATTTATGTTAACACATCCGGGCATCCCCTGGGCAACTTCTCTATAGACAGCTAATTCTCTCATACTTGCAGTATGTTCTAAAGTCGCTTCTGATATGATTTTTTTAAAGTAAATGTGGCCTCTGATTATGAAATTGGTATCATAGTCTTGAGCTTATCCATTTTAGAATAGCTAATTAACAAGTCAAGTCCCACGAAGTAAGTTAAAACTGAAACTGTATGTATACTTGTATGAGCATACATACATTATACTCGTATAATGATTTGCTGCACTAGGATTTGCATCAATATTAACAGTAACAACAAAAAACAACAACAACCTGTTTTTATCTCTTGTTTCAGACCCAAAGCAGCTCACAACATTATGAAAATGTCTGGAGACTCCTGGAAAATGCAACTTCTGAAACCACCCCACATTTGCCTGCTTGAAAATGGAGTCTGCAAGAGGGAAAATTCTCTGGCTGGATCTCCACTGACCATATAATGATGTTTAAACTGCATTATATGGCAGTGTAGATCCAACAACAGTCTTTCACCATAGACATTATACACAGAGTGGGGCCTTCTCAGCTGTGGCAGCCCAACCATGGAAAGCCTTTCCCTTGGAGGCATGATTGACACCATCATTGGCTTCATTGCAGTGCCATGTTAAAGGATGGTCAATTATTAAAGCCTTTAAGGCCTAACTGATCAACTCCCAAAATGTCACTGATGTTTTGATTTGATTCATTTTTAGGTTGTTTACTATGCTTTACCTCTGTTTCCACACATTTTTTATTATTTAAATTGTTTAACTCAATTAAATCAAGGTTAATTGTACGTTCCCCTGAAAATTCATGATACATAGCTGTCCTGGTTAGTACTTGGATGGGAGATAGCCAATAAATACCAATTGCTGTAGGCCATATTTCAGAGGAAGGAACTGGCAAAACCGCCTCTGAGTACTCCTTGCCTAAGAAAACCCTATGAAATTCATGGGGTCACCATAAGTCAACAGGCCACCTGAATGCACGTACTCACCATTCCTTGGGTTGCTTTGATTCCTTCCTGAACCTTTTTCTGCAAATATTTCCCTTCTGCCACATAAAACAGAAACAGAATTAATGAGTGCAAAAATCACTTTATTTCATTAGCCTCATAATACAGGATCAAGAAATGCAAACAAATAAGTATTAAGGTAAGCTTGGTGGAGAAAATAGTGATGTTGTTACAACTTTTGAGCCAGAGATGCCAAAACTGAACTTGGGATTCCTGGCTCCTGCACGCAAGCATACTGACCTTAGCAAGCTGCACTTCTTGATCAAGATTAGACTTGTTTAGGCCCCTTCCACACTGACCCTATATCCCAGGATCTGATCCCAGATTATCTGGCAGTGGAGACTCATATAATCCAGTTTAAAGCAGATAATCTGGAATGAGATCCTGGGATATAGGGCAGTGTAGAAAGCACCTTAGATAGCTGAGGGCATGCCATACCATGTAAGTCCTCCAAGATCGGTCACCTGAAGGAGCACCTACTGGCGGTAAAGCTGGCCCTCTGAAATCTGATCCTCAAAGATGAACTGCTGTTAAATCATGTAGCAGCAAATGGTTCCAAAGGTTTCATTTTGATTTCTCTGTATAATTTACCTGAGTATCATGATCGCTTATAACAGCGTTTCTCAAACTGGGGGTCAAGACCCCTGGGGGGTCGCAAGGGGTGTCAGAGGGGTCGCCAAAGACCATCAGAAAACACAGTGCCAAGTTTATTCCGATCCATCATAGTTTGAGTACACAGTGCTCTCTGGATGTAGATGAAATACAATTCCAAAAACTGAAGATCAATTCCCACCAAACCCTTCCAGTATTTTCTGTTGATCAGGAGAGTTCTGTATTTGGTTCAATTTCATCATTGGTGGAGTTCAGAATGCACTCTGACTGTAGGTTAACTATAAATCCCAGCAACTACAACTCCCAAATGACAAAATCAACTCCCCGCCCCCAACCCCACCAGTATTCAAATTAGAGCATATTGGGTATTTGTGCCAAATTTGGTCCAGTGAATGAAAATACATCCTGTGTATCGGATATGTACATTACGATTCATAACAGTAGCAAAATTACAGTTGTGAAGTAGCGATGCAAATAATTTTATAGTTGGGTGACCACAACATGAGGGAATTGTATTAAGGGGTTGCGGCATTAGGAAGGTTGAGAACCACTGACCTATGATGTAACCCTCTTGAGTGCACCAAATATTTGGAAATAATTGCTGACCCAGTTCCAAACTGCTTATTTTTTAAAAAAGAGTTCTGACCTTCCATCTGGCAACAGAGATATCTCAGGCTGTAATGGTTTTGTTGGTCTTTTGCTTTTTTATAAGATTGGGTGGCTCGGGGGAAGTTGAGATCACACAGGTAGTTAAAATTAATAATCTTTCATGAACATTTGACAACAAAATAGGTTTACTAAGTAGTATAAAAACCAATGCATATCTCAGCTATTTCTATATCTTTAACAAAGATATTGACTCTGTAGCAGCTAACAAATGTAGTCCAGACTATCTAACTATTCAGAAATGAATAGGTACCATTTTCCCTCACCGCTTCGCAGTTCGCTTTATGCGGACTTGCCATATCGCGGTTTTTTCCTTCCTCACCCCTCAAGCTGCAGGGGGGGGGAGGAAGGAGAAGGAAGACAAGGAGGGGAGGGGGAGCCAGGTCTCCTCCTCACCACCTGTGCTCCTGCTGGCTTCAGCCCAGCCTGGCAGTGCCATCAACGGCACCCAAGGGGCCTCCGAGGCCAGAGCAGCAGAGGCGGCAAGCAGGAGGAGGCTCCACCCACTCGGTGGCAGCCTCCTCCTTCTCGCCGCCTGTTCTACTCCTGGCTTCAGAAGCCCCTTGGGCTCCATTGATAGCACTACCAGGCCAGCCTGGCAGTGTCATCAACGGCGCACAAGGGGCCTCCTAGGCTGGGAGCAGCAGAGGCGGCGAGGAGGAGGCTACCCCCGAGTGAGCAGAGCTTCCCTATTTTGCGATTTTTCACTTATCGCAGGGTCTCCTGGAACAGAACCCCCGTGATAACTGTGGGAACACTGTAATGCTTTTAATGGCATTGGAGAGTGACCATCTATTCCATTTCTGCTTGTTCCATCTACAGTGTTGCCCCTATGGTGCACTTTCCCCCATCCTAAATTGAAAGCCTAGCCCCACTGTTCATCCTTTTGGCCTCCTCCCAAAAGACACTTATTTTTTATTTATTTGCTTTATTTCTATACCACATTTTTCAGCCCAACCAGGCGACTTCTATCTCTACCTCATCCAGGGTTTTCTCATTTTACCTTGTCCATTTGGCCCACCCATTGTGTTCGATTTTATATTATGTTATTTTGCTTTGTTTACTTTATTTTGCTACTGTATGTATTTATTGTGATGTGATTTTTGTTGTTTGAATGTTGTATTTTATTTTGCTATGTTGTATCTTTGGGTTTGGCCTCATGTTAGCTGCCCCAAGTCTCCCTCGGGGAGATAGTGGTGAGGTATAAATAAAGTTTATATTATTATTATTATTATTATTATTTTACTGACACAAAGCCATAGTATGTCACAGCAAACGAGATCTATATGCTGGACTTCGTATCAAAAAATCACAAGTCGAACACTTCCCAAGTGTCTAGGACTGTGTGATGTTTATTATTATTATTATTATTATTATTATTATTATTATTATACTGACACAAAGCCATAGTATGTCACAGCAAACGAGATCTATATGCTGGATTTCATATCAAAAAATCACAAGTCAAATACTTCCCAAGCATTTAGGACAGTGTGATGTATTTTCGAATGATGCACACAGATCCAAGTAAGGTGGCCTTTTGCAGTTGACAGACTGTGATTTGGTTGATGTTTATGTTTCCAAATGCCGGCTGAGATCTTTTGGCACGGCACCCAGTGCGCCAATGACCCTGGGACCACCTATACTGCTTTATGTCAGAGCCTTTGCAGTTCGATTTTGAGGTCCTGATAACGGCTGTGTTTTTCCTGTTGTTTTTCCTCAATGCGGCTGTCACCTGGTATGGTATTTAATCAACTACCAAGCTTGCAAACTTTTGTGTTTTGTCTGTCTGTCTGTTTGTTTGTTTGTTTGTTTTTGTTTAAAATGCAATACAAATGTCTGGTTGCTGCTGACATGATAAATAAATAATTACCTGGTATGGCAACATCATCATCATCATCATCATCATCATCATCATTATTATTGCTTTTTGTGGCATTGGAGTTAAACATTAGCGCAGAGCAGATTTTTTGTTAAAGGAACAGCTCTAGAGGCCATTTCAAAAGTTGACAATTGCCATTCAGTGAGAGGAAGCCTAAGAAGCCAGACCTCAAGTGGAAAGGATACTGCTAAGAAAGGTAGCATATGAATCACAGAAAAAATAGTGTTTGATTTCTGGAATGACACAATCAGCTTACAGAGAACATTTCCAAGATTTCAGTTTAGATTCAGCACAATTTCAGTAAAGCTGGAGTCACACTTAAAAGGATTTAGAGCATATAAATATATAGACTCGGTAGCAGCTAACAAATATAGTCCAAAATATTCAGCTGGGGGACTATAAGTTTTTAAGTAAAGATCCACAGGAGGGAGGGAAGTGTTTTAAGTGCAGGTGCTACATATAGCAGCCTAGACATATATGGTGAGTGATTACAGGGAGGAGAACTCCTTAACTCAAGCCACAGCTGCACAGATGGTTCACACTTCTTTGCACGTATGCCTAGGAAGAAGAGTTTTTAACATAATTGATGGTTTTAAAATTGATCTCCAAGGGATTTTAATTCCTCTAATTCTTCAGTCAGCCTTAGTAGAGCTCAGCTGAAATGTTTGGCAATGATATAGTGGTAGCCTGCAACAAATTTATGAATGTAGAGGAAATACTATACACAATGTTAAAAAGAGCATACAGTGATTTGCCCACACTATGCATGACTATCATAGCTTAAGGATGGAGCACACTGAAGAGCTTTCAAGGTGATTGAGTTTAAGGAGGAAATCCTTCCGCTTAGATATGGCTGATGGGAAAAGTACGTTTTCTACATCAGATAATAAAGCAGATCTCCAGAAATAGCTAAGAAAGAATAGTATCTGTTTAATTATACTTAATAAATGTTTATCTTATCTATGTATAGCCCGTGTTTGTCCTGCTAAGAGATTCAAGGTAGCTTACAAAATTTTTAAGCAAAGTTCAGCTAAAATTGTGTCCAATTCTGGGCACCACCATATTGTGTCCAATTCTGGGCACCACAATTCAAGAGAGATATTGACAAGCTGGAATAAGTCCAAAGGAGAGCGACTAAAATGATAAAAGGTCTGGAGAACAAGCCCTATGAGGAGCGGCTTAAGGAGTTGGGCATGTTTAGCCTGAAGAAGAGAAGGCTGAGAGGGGATATGATAGCCATGTATAAATATGTGAGAGGAAGCCACAGGGAGGAGGGAGCAAGCTTGTTTTCTGCTTCCCTGGAGACTAGGACGCAGAACAATGGCTTCAAACTACAAGAGAGGAGATTCCATCTGAACATGAGGAAGAACTTCCTGACAGTGAGAGCCGTTCAGCAGTGGAACTCTCTGCCCCGGAGTGTGGTGGAGGCTCCTTCTTTGGAAGCTTTTAAACAGAGGCTGGATGGCCATCTGTCAGGGGTGCTTTGAATGCAATATTCCTGCTTCTTGGCAGGGGGTTGGACTGGATGGCCCATGAGGTCTCTTCCAACTCTTTGATTCTATGATTCTATGATTCTATGAAAAGTCTTTTTCTGTAAAGATACAAATTAGTTACGAGATCCTACTAGAAAATTTAATTGTATTAAAAATATTGCTTGAAAAATCTAACTGGATCAGTGTTCTGTCGCGCGCTGGGCCTGTAACAGCTTTACTTTTCTATAGGACATATACTTTAAGCCCAGCGGGCCTCAAAGAGGGCCTCAAAGAGAGGTTCTCAGGGATTTTTCTGAAGTGATGGTCCTTAGAGTCTTTGATGATGCAACAAATTCTTTATTATGGAACAAACAACAAATCTTCAATGGTTCTAACAAAACTTCAAGGCTTTCTTAGTCTAGTCCTCAATGGACTGGCACCTGACTTTAATTAACTAAACTTTCTCTGTAGGAAAAAGTCCTTTTAACCTCTCCTAGGCTGCTTTCTATCTATGCCTCATTGGTGTGGGACCTACTACCGATTCCAAATGCGTCTGGGTATTGAGTAGACCAACCAGCCGAGGCTTGAAGATATTTCAGCTGGAGTTCCGTGGATCTGTAATGCTGTTCTCCCTTCGAGAATTCTTAAAAACTTCAGGGCTGTTCCCTCTGATGCTGTGAGGCTGAGAGGTTGTGAGCTCTCAGCCAGAGCTTTTGGGACCTTTCTCCTGGAATTTCTGCTTCTGTACCCTGGATGTTACTTTTTCCCTGGATGGTTAATTCCCCCTGGATGCTCTTGAGAAAGGAAGCTTTTCTACGGGACGGGCTGGTCTACGTCCTATAGCTTAGCTACCTTGTGTGAGACTGCCCCAAAAATGGCTCCTTTCC